ATTGGGATGAGTAGGTCAGATATTTTTCGTATTGCTACAATACCACATCATCCACAGTTCACGGCTATTGCCCTTTTGAATTAGTTTTTGGAAAAACACCCCTGACTTACGAATTTTTAAAAGAAAGTGTCATTAGCCCAGTATATAACCATGAGGCGTATGACACAGAAATTAAATATAGGCTACAAATAGCACAACAAAGAGCTAAGAAGTTAGTACAAGAAACCAAGGAAAAACAAAAAATCAATTATGATATAAATAGCCACAGTAAGGAAATAAATATAGGAGATTTAGTATTAGTTAAAGATGAAGCAGGTCATAAGTTAGATAGTAAGTATAAAGGACCCTATAGAGTAAAGAACATTGATAAAAATAACAATTTTACTGTAGTTCATCATAGAATAGAAAGTAGCGATAGAAAAAATAAAGATAAGGAAATAATAGTTCACAAGAATAGGCTTAAATTACTATGACTTTAAATCAATAATATCAAACACTTAAATAAACAAAAAAATTCCAATTTACTTATAATTCTTACTAAGTACTCACAACAAANTAGCACTATAGATACAAGCAACCTAATTGTTGAGGATAAGATTGACTTAGGACAATTCTTTACCAGGCTTGCAAAACAAGCCGGCAATCTAGGACTTGTAAAGATACAGTTGTCCTTAGGGGACAGATTGTTTAAATATAATTATACTCGAGTAGGCAAATTTATAGAAGTAGGTACCAAGGTTCTCAAAAATTAAACAATTGCATTACCCCCGAAATTATGCATGTGACAAATGTCGACAAAATTAAAGAAATTATGCATAAATATCATGACGATCCTGTTTTTGGTGGCCACCCAGGAATAAATCGCATGGCAAACAAGATCAAACAGAAGTTCAGCTGGAAAAACATGAAAAATGACATAAGAAAATACGTAAAAAATTGCATCCATTGTAAAACAAATAAAATTTATAGACATATCAAGGAACCAATGACAATAACGGAGACACCTCCGAAGGCCTTTGATATTGTACAAATCGATACAATCGGACCATTACCGAAATCGATACACGGAAATGAATACGCTGTTACTATTATATGCGACTTAACTAAATACCTAGTTACAGTTACTGATTGGGATGAGTAGGTCAGATATTTTTCGTATTGCTACAATACCACATCATCCACAGTTCACGGCTATTGCCCTTTTGAATTAGTTTTTGGAAAAACACCCCTGACTTACGAATTTTTAAAAGAAAGTGTCATTAGCCCAGTATATAACCATGAGGCGTATGACAAAGAAATTAAATATAGGCTACAAATAGCACAACAAAGAGCTAAGAAGTTAGTACAAGAAACCAAGGAAAAACAAAAAATCAATTATGATATAAATAGCCACAGTAAGGAAATAAATATAGGAGATTTAGTATTAGTTAAAGATGAAGCAGGTCATAAGTTAGATAGTAAGTATAAAGGACCCTATAGAGTAAAGAACATTGATAAAAATAACAATTTTACTGTAGTTCATCATAGAATAGAAAGTAGCGATAGAAAAAATAAAGATAAGGAAATAATAGTTCACAAGAATAGGCTTAAATTACTATGACTTTAAATCAATAATATCAAACACTTAAATAAACAAAAAAATTCCAATTTACTTATAATTCTTACTAAGTACTCACAACAAAAAAAATTTATTTAATTTTTAAAAAATGTAAAGAATGAAAAAACAAAGTCAGCATAATAGGTACATATATAAACCAACAAAATTTTTTTGCGACATCAAGTTACCATTATGTCATAACTTAGAAAGACAATTGAAATTCAGTAAAGAATAGCCATGGATCATTGGTGCACAAATTATCCATGGCCATTCTCAAAAAATGGGAGGTGTAACATGCATTTGAAATCCGTTTCACTTTCACTACATCCAATTGTCCAATATATACACACATGCAGAAAGAATTCAATTCTGTCTGACCTCAGAAACCAACAAAACGAATTATTAATTATTAATTACTTTACACCAACACTGTGGGGAACTAATCAAAATAGCCTAGTGTATTTCACAAATATTCAAATACATAATCCACCAACCCATAATTTTATATATCCATTACAAGATAATTTGTCATCAGTCTGAAATAAAATATTATAAACCGGAAGGGTAAAATAGTATTGTGTTATTAATTCAAAAATACAAATTTTCATTTCACTGACGAAGGGGGGATCTATCCTCCCAAATCCCTCCCCCCCCCTGGCTACGCCTCTGCCACTGACATGTACTTAACAAGGATTCGAAGTTTGCCAACTTCGAATTCTTTCTATAAAAATTAGCTACATAAAAAAAATAAAAGTTCAGTTAATTTTTTCGGTATTCGAAATAGTAAAAAATGGGGCAATTGTGAAAAATCACCAAAAGACCAAAAACCAGAAATCGAGGAAAATTAACATAAAATTGTAAAAATTTAATGGAATTAATTGATTGCTTTATACTAAAATTCTTTTGTGACATTTTTTATTACTTTTAAAAGTTGAGCGCGCCTGCCCATCAGCACAACCGACTTCAATTCTAATATACAAAGGAGTACCGTTAATGTTTTCATGATCCAATGATCCGATCTAAACCAAATTGCGGGACGATCCTTAAGGTACCTTCATTCCGACAAAAAAAAGTTTTGAAATCGGTTCACGCGGTCCAAAGTTATGCGGTGGCATACATAAAAGAAGAAAAAATACTCCGAAGAATTGATAATTTCCCCTTTATTGAAGGCGGTTAAAAATATTTGAGTTCTTTTTTAATTATATTCAACAATTTTTATTGATCTTTTTGATTTTATGTAAATAAAATGCAATTTATGAAACTCCAAATTTTTTTTGTATTACATACCTAGTGTACATAAAACTTGCATAAATGTATTTTAAAAAGCGTATTATCTGAAGCAGTATTTTCTGATAATATCTATATATTTAGAAGTATTAAATTGACCTGGGTGCGCCCCTGATCACCTTAATCGAAGAACTTTTGAAACGATTACCTAGTCAATTAAATACTTTTAAAACAATCTTTGATTTTGTCACCAGAAAANTAAATTGTCCTGGGTGCGCCCCTGATCACCTTAATCGAAGAACTTTTGAAACGATTACCTAGTCAATTAAATACTTTTAAAACAATCTTTGATTTTGTCACCAGAAAAGTGTTTAAATCACAAGAGTGCGAGTTGCAGGGACCTGCCAATTCACTATTTGAATTTGAAGGAAAGNTTAAATACTTTTAAAACAATCTTTGATTTTGTCACCAGAAAAGTGTTTAAATCACAAGAGTGCGAGTTGCAGGGACCTGCCAATTCACTATTTGAATTTGAAGGAAAGGGGAGCAGCGGAAACTGAATATTTAAATCTTTTAACTTTCCCATGGAATATTTAACTTTTTTTCAGAACGGCATTCCATCCAACTCTGAAGAATTTTGGATAATTGCTTACGGAGTGAAAACCGCAACAGGCAATAAAATGTATGGAAATATAAATAAAGAAGGGTTCATTGCCGCACTCAAATGCTTTTGTTGAGTGCGTTTTGTCGTAATGAATTCAACAAAATCTAAGATTCGAAATAGGGTGAGGTTGGAAAGCCTTAATTCAATAGTTCGAATCAAATGTTATATGAAGGCTAATAGTTTCTGCACAACAACACAAATGTAAATGGAGCAGACACTATAGGTGATGAAGAAATTGTGTAAATAGCTGATCTCGCGTTATTCAGCTCTTCATTGAAATACACAAACAAATCTTTGCTTAAAAGTAAATCACGACAAAAACACCACAACCTATTACCTCATTGTTAAATAACGACGAATCGAACTAGCTTTGAAGTGGAGTTTAGTATCAGCAGATGTTGAGATGAGCTTTAGTTCCTTCAAATCAATGCTTCGCGATAATGGCATGAGGCTATGGCCTAAATGCACTTAGTGGCATTGTGCTACTATGATAGCAAAGCCGAGTAATCATAGTCAACTTATGTACAGCGGTCGAAAAAAATTATAGCCGCGCCAAATTTTGAAAAGTTTTCAATTATTATTTTTGTTATTTAATTTTGGTTAGTTTTTTTATAAAAATATAGTTAATTCTTTAACAACATCCGTGTAAATACAAGTTTAAAGGTACATAGTGTCACACGATTGGGAATTTGCCCAAAATTTGGTGCAAAACGTATCCCAATTGTGGGAATACCCAAATATTTTTCTTTATCCCAATCACGAAAAATAATTTGTTCAAATTTTTCAATAGAAGATCTCTGTATTGTACCAATTTGTCGTCCCAATTTTTTTTTTTGATATATTGTACCGTTAGCCCAATATAAAAATGTACAAATCTGTACAAATGTACCAATCCAGTGACACTGTCTTAAAACTTTGTGCAATATTAAAAAAAAACAAATTTTCGTAAAAATGTCGAGCTTTTTTAATTAGATTTCCTAGAAAGATTCTAAGTATGCAGTTTTGTAGCCCATTCAATTCTAGTAGAACAAGTTTCAAATGGCTAACAGCGGTTGATTTTTTAGGATTAAAAAAAGCACAAAGTTGGAAACTTGGATTTACACGGGTTTTGTTAAAGAATGAACTATATTTTTATAAACAAAATAATCAAAATTAAATAACAACAAAAATAATAAGTTAGAACTAAGCAAAACCTGATTCGGCTATAATTTTTTGACCACTATGTATTTTTGTATATATTCAGTTGGACATGCCAAATGAACATAAAGCTATGTATGTAACAAAATTAAAAAAATAAATGCATTTTTCTGCGTTTTTTCAAATCTTATTTTGTTTTTTTCTAGTTTTTACGGGCTTAAAATCCTAACGCTGATAACAACATTTAATAATATTAATACTTAATAATAACAGTATTACCAATATTTATTAGTTATAATAATATTCAATAACATTTAGGTATAAATAAAAAATAAAAATAATAATAATAATAAATAGTTGTTATTACATTTCCAGAGAGCTTTTTACAACGGTTGTTGATATGCTAGCTACACTTGTTCACTCCACTTTAATAACAGAGTGCCAATCTGAACGGGACGAAAATAAAAAATTGTATCTCAATCTAATGAAGAAGTTAAAAAAAGAAATTGGGGAAAAAAACAATGCTTCAATAAGGGTTATCCGTCAACTATTGCCACTTTACAAGCAAACAACCGAGGTACGTTATCTAATCGGAGTTTTGTTAACTATATGTAAATAATATTCCATTTAATAGCCCAGAAAAAATTATGCAGGCCTTGTGAAACTAGTACTTACTTGTTTTTGTTGTTGTGCTATTACTACTCTCACTACATCCAAAATTCTTGGTTAATATTGTTTTGAAGGTATTTAGAAAAAAGGATAATATCGACTGCTATGGTTAAAATTCAAAAAGATATTGTACATNTTCTGCCATGAAAAACAGCTTCTCATAAAAATACAATCGCCGTTCGGAGTCGGCGTAAAACTGTAGGTCCCTCCGCTTTGTGTTACAATATCAAGGCGCACGCCGCAAGTTTGAGGAGAAGCTCGGCCAAACACTAACATATGTGTAAGCGCCAATCTATTATTATTATTATTATTATTATGGTTAAAATTCAAAAAGATATTGTACAGATCGCACGTTTAATAATATAACGAGGTATTCCAAAATTTAAATTTTGTGAGAAAACGCAATCAAAGTTTTATCAATTCATGCAGTTGGTATACAAAAAGACAGATGGAAAGACACATATTTTCGCCATATTTGGGAACTATGGTTATCTGTTAAACTGAACATATTCTACTTATCAAGCTTATTATATGCATAATGAAATCTCCCAAAACGTAAATTTTTAGTTACATCTCTATATCAGTGGTGCACACGGGAGTCTCCGGGATCTACTCGGCTTTCAAATACAAGTCGTGTGTGCGCAGCTAACGAGCTGTTGCGACCAGTGTTGCCGCGCCGTCTCAAGAAAACTTATCACTAAACAAGCCAAAAATTTATCCAAATGTATCCCGTTTTCTTTTTTACGTATATATATCATATTTGTAAGAAAACCAAACATTTTCAAGAAAAAGACATAATTTTACCCATCCTAAGGACTTGGGATATACAGATGCGTGCAACTAATTAACAACGACATGTCCCTAAGAGATTTATGACCTCTTATGTAGAATATNGTTGCCGCGCCGTCTCAAGAAAACTTATCACTAAACAAGCCAAAAATTTATCCAAATGTATCCCGTTTTCTTTTTTACGTATATATATCATATTTGTAAGAAAACCAAAAATTTTCAAGAAAAATACATAATTTTACCCATCATAAGGACTTGGGATATACAGATGCGTGCAACTAATTAACAACGACATGTCCCTGAGAGATTTATGACCTCTTATTTAGAATACTCAACAACTAAAATGGAAATTTTTACCAAAATATCCTTTTTGGAAAGTATACTTAGATTTAGCTGTCAAAAAATGTCAATAAAGTTCCGTTATTCTGAAATACTTGCAATTTTTATGCAAACTCGACTAAAGGTATCGTGCATTTAATTAGCAACGCAAGTAAAATTCTTAAACATTTTTGCGAATTAATTGATTTACGGTAAGAGTCTTTTTATATTTTTACTAAAATTGTTTATTTGCAATGAACTTAATAGTTTTAGTTGAAAATAAAATGGGTAAGCGCAAATCGTGTAGCGAGGAAACTAGGGCTATTATCGTGCACATGCGTCAGGATGGGAAATCTTACGGTGACATTGCAAACACCCTAAAAATTTCAAAACGGATGGCTTTCAATGCAGTCCAACATTTCAACAAAAAAAAAAAACACAGTGAAAGTCCCACGGAAGAAGAGGCNATTTTTGCGAATTAATTGATTTACGGTAAGAGTCTTTTTATATTTTTACTAAAATTGTTTATTTGCAATGAACTTAATAGTTTTAGTTGAAAATAAAATGGGTAATCGCAAATCTAAGCGGAAACTAGGGCTATTATCGTGCACATGCGTCAGGATGGGAAATCTTACGGTGACATTGCAAACACCCTAAAAATTTCAAAACGGATGGCTTTCAATGCAGTCCAACATTTCAACAAAAATAAAACCACAATGAAAGTCCCACGGAAGAAGAGGCCACAAAAAACGACTGAGCGGGAGGACGAGTTGATTGTGCGCGAGTCGAAAAAGGATCCCCACAAGACGGCGAATCAAATACGAGTTGCAGTTTTCGGAGAAAATGATAGAGCGCCAGCTGTGGATACCATAAAAAGACGATTAAGCGAAGCAGGACTCTTTGGAAGAGTTTCCAGGAAAAAGCCGTTACTTTCCGAACGCAATCGAAGAAATCGATTCGAGTTTGCCAGAAAATACCGTCACTGGACCGCAAACGAGTGGATAAGGGTACAATTTTCGGACGAGACGAAAATAAATAGAGTTTCTTCNAGGACGAGTTGATTGTGCGCGAGTCGAAAAAGGATCCCCACAAGACGGCGAATCAAATACGAGTTGCAGTTTTCGGAGAAAATGATAGAGCGCCAGCTGTGGATACCATAAAAAGACGATTACGCGAAGCAGGACTCTTTGGAAGAGTTGCCAGGAAAAAGCCNTCAGACGGGAAAAGCTATGTCCGCAGACCAAAATGCAAGGAGCTGGACCCTAGATATACTAAATCAACATTAAAACATGGTGGCGGCAACATAATGATTTGGGGTGCCATGTCGTGGCGTGGTGTTGGTCCTATTTACAAAATAGATGGACGCATGGACCAGTTCAAGTACAGAACAATCATGGACAACGTGATGTTACCATATGCTGATGCCAACATGCCCATTACGTGGATATATCAACAGGATAATGATCCTAAACATACTGCGCGGGCTACAAAGCAATGGTTTCAAGACAAAATGGTGACCCTTCTAGATTGGCCTTCGTGTAGTCCGGACCTGAACCCTATTGAAAACCTTT